TCCAATTTTTCCTTTTTTTTTTGCACGTACGAAAAATGACAATCTTGGCTTTCTCTCACCTGGACTTTGTCAAACAGCCCGCCGCTAATTAGTCTTGACTTTAGAAAGGATATTTTTCCGCCTTCTTGGCGCCCTCTGTGAGCCAAAAGCAATTGTCCCTCTTTTTTTTTTTTGTTTTTCCTGATAGTCGAAAATCTTAATTATCTACATTGAAAATGTCTCTACTTTATTAACGTGGGTGTCCAATTCTTAACAGGTCAGAATCTGTATATCGTTCCACCGGTCACTCCCCTCAACCCAAAAGACACTTTTTTTCTCTGATTAAAAAATTTGTTTCTATTGTTCTAAAAAAAAAAAATTTCCTTTATCCAAATTGATAAGGTGTCTTTCCACGCAAAAAGTAGGCTAGATGCTTTGACCGATATCTGGTTTTCCATCAAGCGGCCTGTTTTGATATCATGTCTTTTTTTCCTTCTTTTTTTATTATTTCTAATTCAAATTCTTCCAATTGTCTTTTTAAAAAAATTATGTCAACATCTTTCTGACTAAGATTTCTTTATGACTCGGGTTTTCATTTAATGACCTTTTTTTTTTTTTTTTCGACCTTTTTTTTTTTTTTTTTTTCTTTTCTTCCCTTAGGATCGTCTAGTACAATCTTAGTGAATTATTTTCAACTCAATTATTTTCCGTTTTAAAAAAATCAACAACCTGTTTAATAAACCGAATAAAAAAAAATTAAATCATATTTCTATGAATATTTCTAATAATGCAAGGTGCCACATATATATTTATATATATAACATTCTTCTATCTTTGTATAAATATATATTATTACAACGTAAATTATTTCAATATATATATATATATTGAGATGGGCAATAATTATTGACTATTTTATTACAGAAATAAAAGGACTTAAACATTTAAATTGCCACAATATTTTAACGTTATTTTCCAGTATCTGTCTATATTTCTGAGACAAGATAGATGTTATATAGGCCATTATTTTATTTTATAGTTATAAAAAAATTCAACGTCATTCAAAATAAATTGATTCAAATCCCTTCTCTAAATGAAAGATATTTTTGGATATGTTATTTTATATTTGATTTCATTATTCGGTTTTGTAAATTTATATATGCCATTTTAAACAACGGCAAAAAGGTGGTTGAAATGTCTAACTTATTTATTTTTTTTTCGCTCACTTATTAAATTTCTAGTTCCACGTGCCAAATAAATGGATGTCAAATTTATCAGTTATCTAATGTTAATTTATCAGAATTGAAAGTTTACCACTGCCTTAACCGGGTATTGAACTGTTAAACACTTTGGATCCTGCCACTTGATACCACCAACGTCTTTATCCACTGTGCGAATGTGTCTCTTGCAGAGTTTGTTTTTCAGCTTTGTCTAAATTACAAACATTTGAGTTTAAAAAATTTTTAGTTTAAATGTTGGAATATTTGACAAATAAACTCTTCCTCTACCAAAAATAAAATAAATAGACGTAGATAAGTTCACCTATCGTCCGGTTAACAGCCTCCCCTTGTCTTTTTTTTAACAGGAGGTGTCTGTCATTTTTCTGTTTAGGATTTGGTTTCCGGTTCCTTCTAAAGTCTTTTTCTTCACTTCCACTTCCGGTGGGTCTTGAGTCTGAGGGGCATTATCGCCTTGCTTTGGACGAATTGATTAAAGAAAAAGAAAATCTGCTTTTGTAGATACTGAGAGCAAAGTTTGGCTGAATGACGATAAGTTTGCCAAAAGGTACATGATGAGCGATAACTGTCAAAAAAAGCCTCATCATTTTTTTTTTTTTGTTTCGGAAAAAAAAAAATATAAAAAAAAAAAAAAAAAAAAAAAAAAAATTAAACATTATCTATAAATATTATCAAACGATTACTTACCTCCCAAATGAATCGAATGACCTCTCGCATGTATGTTCAAACAACCGCCCCCATCCCATATACGTAAAATTTAAAAAGTCAAATATTGGAAAATAGATAGTTTAAAAAATTCAGGCTTCCAAGTTTGAATAACATCAGATGTCTCCGTTCTTTTACTATTGAAATAGTTATTTAATTATGATATCGATCACATAAAATAACATCAAATGTTTTCATTCCCCACCATCCCAACACATTTTAAACATCCATCCCGACGGGATGGCAATTTTTCTTTGTCTTAATGAATCTAAGGATAAGTTTTTATTCATGTGTCTATTGTCTGAAAAAAGAATAATTTGAACAGGGTTGGTTTGGTTGGTTTTTGGTATTTTGGGTTGACTTCATGATGCGAATAATGCTTTTTTGTAAAACTTCATTAATTTTTTTACAAGTGGAGGGGGCGTGGGAGCACCGGGTTACAGATTTTTTGTAAAAGCTTTACATTCGGATCTTGATGAATTGAATTACAGAAAAAAATCACCTAAGCATATCTTCTTGGAAAAACACGGCCTTCGTTAAATCTCTCTCTTGTCGTCTCTCTCTGTTTAAACGCGGCCGGGATGCACTTCCGTCCAGAACCATTTTTGTCAAGCACAACGTCGAAAAACGGAAGAACCTGCCAAACAGTAACATGGCCAAACTATTAAGAGGAATTCGATTTTGAATAGGTTGGCAAAGAAACAAGGAACTGTGGACAGACAGATCAGTAACTAGGAAGCGATTGAAGATTTTACAAACACTTGAATGTTCTTCTCTTTTTTTTTTATTGCTATTTCTCAGCCAAGAGCCACTCAAGATAGAGGAATACTGAAATTTTCATTTAAATATGTAGCGTCAAGAGAAACAGTTGCATATTATGAGGATATGTAGGTTAGATATTGATTGACCCTAGAAGTGGTTAAGATTATATTTGTCTATATTTTTGAGATGAGGTATGTACAATATTTACATTATTCGACTATTATATTTCATAAAATACAACATTTATTACAACGTTTCTTCCTTCAAAATCTGTCTATATTTCTTAGATGAGGTAAAATATATTTTATTTACATTATTCGAACTATTGTCCACATCTTTGTCGCCATATTTATTACAACATTTGGCCTTTCAGTATCTGTCTATATTTCTGAGATGAGGTATTATGTACGTTATTTACATTATTCGGACTATTGTCCTCATCTTTGTCGCCATATTTATTACAATGTTTCAGCCCTTCAGTATCTGTCTATATTTCTGAGATGAGGTATTATGTACACTATTTACATTATTCGAACTATTGTCCTCATCTTTGTCGCCATATTTATTACAATGTTTCAGCCCTTCAGTACCTGTCTATATATCTGAGATAAGGTATTATGTACATTATTTACATTATTTGGACTATTGTCCTCATCTTTGTCGCCATATTTATTACAACGTTTCAGCCCTTCAGTACCTGTCTATATACCTGAGATGAGGTATTATGTACAATATTTACATTATTCAGACTATTGTCCTCATCTTTGTTGCCGTATTTATCACAACTTTTCGGCTGCTGTACGCTCCGGCCTTCTTCAGGTGGTTGGAGAACTTTCAGATGTGAATTAACAGGAGATAACTGACATGCATTAGACATGACACGTGAAACTAGAACAGTCTACCCCAGTGAGCGAAATCAAGGGTTCAGTTCGACATTCCAACCACCTGAAAAGGCCGAAGCGTACAACATAAATGGATAAACATGGCGACAAAGATTTTGACAATAGTCGGAATAAATTAAATTTTTTTATAAAATTATATTGAAAAGAATTATGTTAATCACCATCTCGGGAGACTTTTCCACGAAGTGGCAGTTCTGGAGAAGAAGATGTCTGTATAAAAACTTACTAAAAGATTACGAAAGGAATGAGGGTTACTTGACATCGTGAATATGGCATAAAGGGCCGGAGCTCTGAAATGGTGCAACTAAACAATGTCTAAAACCTAGCAACTGTGTGGTATGTGTAACGGTTATAAGGGTGGAAAGTAAAATCGTTGTACCGAATTGAAAATCTTTGTTCTTTGTTTGCGATTCTGTAGAACCAGTCTTCGAGATCTGGCGAAGGACAGTCTTCTTAAAGACCTACGGGATTCATTCACCTGAAGTTATTTTTAATAATTGGTCTGAAAAAAAAAAGTGGTTTGTAAGTCGCTGATAGTTTAAGCATTTCTGAACGACTTACATATGAGTGTCTAGATCTGATTTGGTTTGGTTTAGTTTGGTGTGTTTTACGGTGTATCAACCTGAATGGGTTATTTAATGCAGACAAGATTTTTTATTGCTAATTTAATTTTGAAGAAAAAAACTGAAAAAAATGTTTTGCTGGTAATATTTTTTTTTTTTGAAAAATAAATTTCATAGTTTGTTTATTAATTTGTTTTCTTGGTAAGTCTTTTCTTTCTTTCTTTCTAAAACATACTTTCTTTTTTCTTTCTTCTGTTCCGCTTTCTTTGTTTGTTTCTTTCTTTCTTTTGTTCAACCCTCTTCCTTTCTGTCTTTCTTTTTTTCTTCTTTTTTCTTTCCTTCCTTCAGTTTTTTCTATTTCCTTTTTTTGTTTGTTTTCTTTTTTTTTTTCAACTTTCTTCTAGAAAAAAATTTTTGTCCATTCTTTCTTTCTTTCTTTCTGTCTTTCTTTCTTTTGTTCCACTTTCTTTCTGTCTTTCTTTCTTTTGTTCCACTTTCTTTCTCTCTGTTTTTTGTTCCACTTTCTTTCTTTCTTTCTCTCTGTTTTTTGTTCCACTTTCTTTCTTTCTTTCTTTCTGTCTTTCTTTCTTTTGTTCCACTTTCTTTTTTTCTTTTCTAGGTTTTTTTGTTCTTTTTTTTCTTTTTTTCTTTTTTCTTTTCTTTTGATCCTTATTTTTATTGTTTTTTAAATATAAGGAAGAAAATATAAAAAAAAAGAAGAAAATGCTAAATAGACTGAATAAGGGAAAGGAAAGAATAAAGTTAAAAAAAAACATTAAAATTGTTTATTTACAAGAAAAAAAAGACTTTCGTTTTTTTTTGAGTAAAATTAAAACTAAGAAATGAATCTCTTACAAAAAAAGAAAGCTTTTTTTGTTCATCATTTTAAAAAATAAAACGCAATAAGCGAAATGAAGAAGAAAAGAATAAAGTAAGATAAAAAAAGGAAAAGAACGAAAAACGGAAAACGAATGAATAAGAGAAAGAGCCGAGTACAAATAAAGAAGAAAAAATAAAGTACAAGAAAGAAAAATGAAAGAAGTAAATGCGAAATGTAAAGGAATAAGAGGAATGAAGAAAAAAGGAATGAAGAAAATAAAAGGAAAGAATAAAGTGTTAGAGAGATAAAGCGAAAGAAGAAGGAATGAAAGAAATGAAAAAAGAGAAGGAATAAAAAGAAAGAAAAAAGAAAAAACAGGAGGAAGAAAAGTCAATATGAGACGGAATAAGACAATGTCGAACAATTGTAAAAAGAAAAACACTCAGTTGTAGGTTTACAGAGTGATTCCTCATTCAACATTGATTTCTTTATTTATGGTGCAATGGAGCATCTCATTATGCTAAAGTGGGATGTCCATTGCTTTAAATGATTGGCTGCTGGTACCTTTTGGAAATATTACTATATAAATACTAGCATGATTTTCTCAGTTAGTTTGCAGGGGTTTTTATTAAAACAACCTGCTTTATTTTTTTCTATTTCCAGCTCTTGATTAGCTGGGACTCTTACGCCGGTAAGTGCTTTTTTTTATTGTTATTCTACAGACAAATGTAGAAGACATGGAACAAACATAAAAAAGAAGTACAAGAATGAAAAAGAGAAAGAAGAAGGAACGAGAGAAAGGAAGAAGGAACGAGAGAAAGATTAAAAAAAAAAAAAAGAATAAAGAAGATGAAAGAAAAACAGAGGGAAAAGCGGAAAAAGACAGAATGAGAATAAGGAAAGGGTAGGGGAAAAGAAAAAAGAAAAGAGAAATTACTAGAAAGAAAAAGAAAAAAAATGAAATGTGAAGGAATAGGTGAAAAGAAGAGGAGAAGAAATGAAGATAAGGAATAAAAGAGTAAAATACAAGAGAAAAAAACAGAAAGAAAAAGAGAGGAAATAAAGATTAAACAGAAATGAATAAAGTACAAGAGAAGAAAAAGAGAAAGACGAACAGACAAAAGCATAAAGGAACAAGAGAAATGAAGAATAGAAGGAATAAAGACGTAGAAGAAACGAATAAAATACAAAAGAGAAAAAAGAGAAAGAAAGAAAAACGAACAAGAGAAGATACATGAAAATCAATCTTACGTTTTTGTTTCAAATTTACACTTCGTCTCTATTTGTTTTTTGTTTGTTTGTTTTTGTTTTCTTGTAGAATTCTTAGCGCCATTTTGATTTCGTCTCTAATGACTGAAACAATGTTGTAGAATACACCAGACTGTAGAAGAGGAAGATTTGCTTAAAAGAGATTATTTCCATTGATTGAGACCGTTCCAGATGATTCCTCAACCGAGAAAGAAAATAAACTCTTTATATGCGATTTTCACATTTCAATATAGAAATCATTAGACCTATCACACCTGACAGCTTCTTCTCAAGAACTACTGCTTTGTGTAACAGACTCCCAAAAGGATGTTTTCCCGATAAGTACAATTTTGACCTCTTCATGTCTAGGGTTAATCGTTATCTTTTCCTTTCGTATTCCGACAATAAGAAGTAAGTTCCATTCGGACAGCTTCTTCCCAAGAACTGCTGCTTTGTGGAACAGACTCCCATTAGGACGTTTTCCCCATCGGTACAATCTTGACCTCTTCATGTCTAGGGTTAACCGCTATCATTTCCTTTCCTACTCCTATAGTAATGCTTCTTCCCAAGAACTGTTGCTTTGTGGGACAGACCCCCAACATGTTATTTTCTCAATCACTACACTCTTAACCCCCTTCATGTCTATGTTTAACTGTTATATTTTCTGCATAGCTCCATGAATTTCACTTCTTACCTTTTGGTCCGCTTGTACAACACCACACATTAAACCTCTAATTTGAGCTGCCGGATGTAGTTTATCGTCATACCAAGGGCGAAAAAGAACATTTGCCTTGTGTTATAGCAATTTTCTCTTTTTTCGTCTGTTGCGTCTTCCCGCATCATATTGTCGAGCCATTTTTTTCTTTTTTAGTTATGAAATTGTATAGCTTCACGTGGCTCTTGAGCATTCAATTTGCTGAACACTAGCATAAAAGAAATCTACGAACACACACAAAGATTGATCACCATCATCGCCCCCACCACCTCACTGGGATGGGAGGAAGTTAAAAAATCAATTGTAGTTTGGTATATGGGATTTTCTTTTCTAGATAGCAATTTGTATAGTAGTAGGAGCAAATGGTAGGAAGTTCCAAATAACCAGTTTTTTTTTTGTTTTTTTTTTGCAGTGGTAAATCTCGCGCTCTCTGTAGTATATAGTAATACGGATGAAAATGTGTTTTATAAGATGAAGAACGAACTAAAAATTAATTTCAAAAAGACAGACTGTATGGTTGTTCGCAAATGGAACAACCAACGGGTGAAGCACCACCATTCCCACAGTA